TATTTATGGATTCCATATTTGCAAATTCATCTACTTGCTAAGATTTATTTAAACTCCCAAATCAATATTTGTGCTGCCTTCACAACCATTTGCAAACATAGGCAGAGTGGCAAAAAAAATTGAAATGCCTGATGTTTACATTCTCAGCTGAGGTTGACATCTTGGCCTCTTGTTTCAACTCTCATACTATAAAGAAGCATCTTTTTTGCCATCTCCTTTGTGCCATGTTTTTCAAATTTTTAATGCTTTCTTGGTGGGTGATTTCACTGATTAACCTGGCCTCTGGGTTTTGTGCAGAAGTACTGTGTAGTGTGCCTAAGCACAAGAAAGTTGTGATGTTACTAATGGTGACAATATGTGTGTTAGATAAGCTTTGTTCAGTCATGACCTAAACTCTTGGCTGTGAGTTTGATTTTAATGAATCAACAGTATATATTAAATAAAGTATCTCTAAACAGAAGTACACATTAAAAGAAGTTACCTATTGATAGGTTGATAAAATGTTGTAAGCAGAGTCTTATAGAAACTTAACCCTGTTTTCCATTTCCTAGAAGCGATGGAAGTATAGCATTCACCAGTTCAGCGTTCGCAAAAACTTTACAGAACATAACTACTGCACATAGCAAGAATCAACTGTGTGTGTGTAAATCTGCTACTCTTTTATGAATAATCCTTGCATGTGTACAGTTCAGATATTAGTCCCAATTTGTGCTTGAGATTATGATCCCAAGAAATATATATCTCTTTTCTTGTTAAAAAAATAAATCCATGTCAAACAAAAACAGTTTGCTTTTGCAGATGGATGATTCCATATTCCTTCAGCCAATAGGTTTTTCATAAAATGAAATATTGAAGAAACATAGGTGACACTGACTGACAGAATCTAAAAGATCATCTACAGCACACTTGGGCATAAAATGTTTGTCAGCATCATATTGGTAGGCTGCCAGTTTCTTTTATAGTGATGCTTTCTCTTCAGCAAACCAGCAACATTTTCAGTCCCTATTCTCTTAGAGAAATTTATTTTTACAGTGGTATTCATGTGTGTGGGGATTTCGTAATCCAAGACTAGTGTTTGTGCATTCATATCTGTCAATTTGCTTGAATACAACAGCCCAAGAGAATTTTTTAACCTTTCATTCATGAATGTTAGTTCATATCAGTAGGGGTGTTTTAAAATGACAGGTATGATGTGAAAGTGAGGATCATCCATATCTTCTGATATAACATCAGAGTTATGTTGCAAATTCACATTCACTTTTGTGTCTCTCTTTTTAAATTGTCTACAAAGCTAAAAGCAGGGAATTTGCATTTACAGTCAAGGACAAGAAAACATACAACTCCATGCAAATGAATTTTAAGCTCCAAAGTACTTCTGTGCTTGTTTACATAAATCTGTTTTCTAATCACCTTTCCTCTTGGTATAGAAGATGTGCCCAGGGTTGTTATTGCCTTATACGTATATATTGTCAAGTATATAAAATAACCAATCAGATGTCCACTTCGAGATGCTTCAGTTTAGGGTGGCTGGTTTCCTTTTTCTGTTTATTCTTCTAATGTGATCCTCTTCTGACTGTTGTGTGGTTTTTCTAGTTATTGTATTAGGATGAGTCGTTCCTGTTTTTACTGCAAGCAGTAGATTTTGTGTCATGAAGTACAGTTCAGAAATAACAGCATTTCTTTATCTTATTCTTAGTAGAAAACCTTAGTTTTTACTCTTCATGTGAGTCTCTCATACATCTGTTCTTCTTCTGTGTTATAACTAGTGTATTTAAGTTTCAGGATTGATATTCTTGAATTCTGCATTCAGAAAGCAGGGTATTTACAGTTGAATTCCTCTGTGAATTGATGTTGAATTTTCTGTAGTTTCATTTTCCACTGCTGATTTGGAGCAACCTAGTGTTCCAATATTAATGATTATTTAAGGAGATTGACTAGCCCTTGAACTAACTGAAAGAAAGTCTGTGTTACCTTGTTCCAATTTCAGTGAACTATTGTGCTATGTAGAGATATGTTATAATTTCAGGATTTTGTGTAGAGTTATTCAGTATATGGTAACTAAGTGGGAATACCTTCTCAGATTTATAACAATGCAAGAGATTAACTAAAAGATGAAAATATCTTTCTCAATTAATATCTCCCTAATTGAAGTACAGGGTAGTATCTATAAATGGGAATTAAATAATATAGTTCCAGAGAAAACTGTTTAAAAATCTTTCGTGATTTATTGGTTGTGTCTCTAAATCATTTTATATTGATGGCTACATTTGTGGGTTTATATTAGCTGTTAATTATCCTCCAGTCTTTTCTTACATGTGTCTCCTCTAAATGTGTCCATTTCCATCTCTGTTTTACTCACTCAAATACTTTAATTTCTTTTCAACAATCTGGGAACAATCTCTCCTCGTATCCCCAGATCAAGACTTTTTTCTAAAGAAGCACTGAAAATGACCTAGTGGCCCTTCTTACTGGCTTTGTATGTGTAAATTATTTGCTCTTTGTTGTTAGTTTGCCTAGTTCCAGTTCAGTTTAACAAAAATCTCCTGAGTGCTTGTTGTGATGATGTGTGAGCTTAGTGGGGTAGGAAAGTGTACTCTGGAGGCTTCCCAGAGAAGGTGATCCTGGACCTGAATCTGGAAGAACAAGTAAGAATTTCCTATTCGTGGAAGGAGCCTAAGTTTATGTTGCCTAAGAGAACAGCATGAAGTTTGACAAGTTCAGTATGGCTGTAGTGTGATGAAGTGGGAGATAGGAAATGAAGATGAAGAGATAGGCATGAGCCAAATCATGGAGGGCTTTATGTATCATATGTGGGCATTTGTTTTGTGGATGAACTTGGACTTTATCCTTATCCTGTGAATAATAGCTTTTGAAGAGTTTGACAGGTGTGGCAGGATTTTCATTTTAGAGTGATCATTTTGATGGGAGTATGGTAAATGGCTTTGAGGTAGGGTAAGAGTGCATGCATAGAGGAGAGTAAACCAGATAGATTACTGATTTAGTCATATTGAGAGACAATGCCCTGGATTTGGATACCATTAATTGGGGTGAAGTTGAGGACATAGACGTGAAAAGTGTTTAGAGTAGAAATGAATCAGACATTTAAAGTAATTGGTGAAATGTGAGATTACTGTCAGACTTTGATTTGAGTGTCTAAGTGGCTGTGGTGCTGTTAATAACCATAGCAGGGAATTTAAAGAAGGAATAGATGTTAGGAAAAGTTTTTGATGTATTGTATTTATAGTACTTTCAAGTGGGAGCATATAGAAAGCAGAATATAGGCATATGATGCTCAGATGAAAGGTTAGGATTAGAGATATTCATGTGGGGATCCTTTCAGTCCTGGTTGGAGCACAGAGAATGTGGGTAGATATGAAGTAGGCAAAAAGCTGAGCCCTCAGGGGAAAGGAATGGAAAAGAAAATGGCAACTCACTCCAGTATTTTTGCCTGGAAAATCCCATGGACAGCGGAGCCTGGCGGGCTACAATCCAAAGGGTCGCAAAGAGTCAGAACGACTGAGCAGCTAAACAAGAAAGGGAATAGGGAAAGAGGAACCCAAGGCAGAAACTGAGCAGGAAAAATCTCTGTGTCTTTGCTTGAAAAGAGAACACAGGAGGACAGCTTTATCCTTTTGTATCCTTGGTAAAACCTTGAATAATATAGTATAGATAGTTTGTGAATGTTTGCTAGTTATTTTATTTAGCTGGAAAGCATCTCATTTACTTTGATATTTAATTTGATATTTTACCTAATTCCATGACTTGACAAGAAATATGTTAAAATTCATATCATTTCATGAGCACCTACTGTGTACCTTGCTTCTGCAGCTGTGCTCAGTTGTATCCAACTCTTTGCGGCCCCATGAACTGTAGCCCAACTATAATGCCAGGCTCCTCTGTCCATGGGATTTTTCAGGCAAGAATACTGGAGTAGGTTGTCATTTCCTCCTCCAGGGGATATACCTAGGCACTGTGTTATAGGATTTTATCATTCAAATAATCCTACAAGGGTAGGTTTTATTATTTTTCCATTTTGTTTTGAAGAACCTGAGAATAAGAAAGATTTAGTGCCTTTGTCAACTTTTTCATGTGCCATGTAACTCCAAATTTCCTTTTCTTAACCATCAATGATGATCTATTATGTTTTCAGGCCAAAAGATCATTTGAAAGTCTCCTGGTTCCATTGTGATAGTTATTCTGACCCAAAGGCACTGATTTATACTAAATTCTGCCTTGTCAGTCTTATGTAGATTAGTATGGTAGTTGGACATGTCTTTGTTCCTGGGTGCAATATGGCTTTACCTAATCCTTTTTATCTTTCTGGGGCACTATTTCTTTATTAGTATTAGCAATTTGCATTAGATGACTGCTAAATTGCTTAAGATTGTAAAATCCTTTAAGTCCATTATTTTGAAAAATTCAAAAACAGAGGTTGCTTAGCATCTACTAACAGATTTTAGAAATTACAAGGTAATTACTGGGCTTCATGACTCAACTAAAATTATATGTAAAATATGATGCATGTATGTGCCTTTTGGGCATGCAATTTGTAGCTTTCATCAGATTCTCATAGTTGTGTATAATACCTCACCACTCACCCTTCACTCAAAAGATTAAGGCATATAGCTCTAGAAGCATCTGTACACACTGCTTTCTGCAATCCTATCCTGACTAGTTAAGTCCTCTTTAACAAAGTATTGTTATTCATTTAAAGTAATGTTTGAGGTAAGGTTACTTTTTTAAGGGCTTCCCAAGTTGCTCAGACAGTAAGGAATCTGCCCACAGTATGAGACTTGGGGTTTTTCTTAAGGCTATTTAAACCATAGTATTTTCTAAAGTAAAACACCTCTTGGATATTTTATCTATTTTAAAAAGTCCATTAAATAGAATGAGTATTGTGGTAAGTACTGCCTTGTGGTAAATTTTAAAATGCTCAATTTTAAAGTCTGAGTCAACTGACCTTCACTAACACACATTTCCCACGTTGCATCATCCTGTAGGAAAAGAATAATTGAGGCCCATTCCTAAGGAAAGAAAAGGAAGCAATGACATAATGCCTACAGTTGGTGCCAGTTAAATTGGGTTTGTACTTTTTCTTTTCTTAATGTAACATGTTTATTCTAATCTTGAGTCTCTCTCTCTCTCTCTCTTTCTTTTCAGTCTCTTGCCTTATTCTAGCAGCAGATCTTATAATTTTGAACTCTGCCTTAGTATGGAAGAGACAGAGATTAATAAGACATGCCCCTTTCTAGGTATTTGCCATATCTGTGAATATGAACAACAGAATGATAAAAAGCTAGATAAAAGTCACATTTCTAGATAAGAAGCTTGAGAGGTCTGGTAAATTGCTCAAGGTAAAAAGCTAGTATGTAGTCAAACCAGAATTCAAATTCAGATTTGTTGACTCTAAACCCCATATGCCTTCCATTTTGTCACACTGCTCCTCATTTTATTTAGGTTTAGTTGTACAACTGCTTGTAACTGAAGTGGAGGGACCAGGACCCCATATATTTAATTTAATAAATATTTCTGATAAAGTAAAAGGAGAGGAAACATTCTCTATTCCCCTAAAGTTTAAGAAATTAGAGAAGGAAAATAATATTTGTACAGCACTTAGTATGTGCCAGGTACTGATATATAGGGTCTTAACATGAGCTAGATCATTTAACATGAGCTAATTCAGAATAACCAGGTGACATACTTGGTATAATCTCTGTTTTAAAGAAAAAGGAAGAGGCTGAAGCTCAGGGAAATAAATTGCCCTGAATCACGTAGCTAGTAAGTCACAAAAGCAGAATTGAAACTCTTTATTGTGAAAGGTTAGATAGGGTTTACATCATACCTATTGACTTAAGATTGAATGTCACACAAATCAAGTGAATAGCTGGACAGTTTGATCTAAGCTCCTTTTGCGATTTGTGTCATTTGTCAGTTCAGTTCAGTTCAGTTCAGTCACTCAGTCTTGTCCGACACTTTGCACCACATGAACTGCAGCACACCAGGCTTCCCTGTCCATCACCAGTTCCTGGAGCTTGCTCAAACTCATGTCCATCAAGTCGGTGATGCCATCCAACCATCTCATCCTCTGTCATCCTCTTCTGCCTTTAATCTTTCCAGCATCAGGGTCTTTTCTAATGAATCATCTCTTTGCATCAGATGGCCAAAGTATTGGAGCTTCAGCTTCAGCATCAGTCCTTCCAATGAATATTCAGGACTGATTTCCTTTCAGATGTACTGGTTTGATCTCCTTGAGAGTCCAAGGATTCCCAAGAGTCTTCTCCAACACCACAATTTAAAAGCATCAATTCTTCAGTGCTCAACTTTCTTTATCGTCTAGCTCTCACATCCATACAGGACTACTGCAAAAACTATAGCCTTGACTGTACAGACCTTTGTCGGCAAAGTAATGTCTTTGCTTTTTAATATGCTGTCTAGGTTGGTCATAGCTTTTCTTTCAAGGAGCAAGCATCTTTTAATTTCATGGCTGCACTCACCATCTGCAGTGATTTTGGAGCCCAAGAAAATGAAGTCTCTCACTGTTTCCATTGTTTCCCCACCTCTTTGCCGTGAAGTGATGGGAACAGATGCCATGATCTTCGTTTTTTGAATGTTGAGTTTTAAGCCAGGTTTTTCACTCTCCTCTCACTTTCTTCAAGAGGCTCTTTAGTTCCCCTTCACTTTCTCCCATAAGAGTGGTGTCATCTGCATATCTGAGGTTATTGATATTTCTCCTGGCCAAAAAAAAAGTCATTTGTAAACATTCTTAATTGGACTGTTAACAGTTAAATCATCTTCACCAAAGTAATATTTACATTTTCTTAATAAGCTTTCCATTTTAGCTTTCCATTCCAGTTTGTAAAGGTAATTGTCTAAACTGTGGTGAAGACAGTTTAAATTCACAAAACAGTGAACGGCATCACATGATAGAAGGGATTTTGAGGTAAGAGTCTGGTCTGTGTCCTTCCTGCTCCCAACTTTCCTACTGACTTGTGCTATATACCAGTCTCTTAGTCTACTTTTGGACTCGTTTTGTGAGATGAGAGGGTTGAGTTAATTGTTCCCTAAGTCTCTTACAACTATGAAATTATCCCAAGAGTAAATAGATTTTTTTTAATGTGCTTCATATGTAAATATCAATGCATTTTTAGGGATGAGACATCTTTAGAGATCATCAAACTGAATCCTCCCATATGATAGATGCAGAAACTGAGACCCTTACATTTGCATGACACTTTAAACATCCAAAACTCTTTCACCTACCTTAATCTCACACAGGCTTCATCACAATCTTGTAGATTACCTAGCATCATCATCATTGTACAAAAGAGCAATTGAATTGGTCTAGGGTCACATAGCTGAGCCTAAACTAAATGATTGACTAAACCTAGAGTTTTCTTTTTTTTTCTTGCTTTAGTGGGATTAATTATATCTTTGTGTTGAAGTCTTACTGCAGGAGAAAGTGAGAATTTAGTGGTTTATGAAATAAATCCAAGCAGGAAAAACAAATGTTTCCCAGTATAAATGTAGTAATGACTACAAGCAGTCTAAATAGCAGGAACAAAGAGGGAAGGGAATGGCAAAAACTCAGATTTGCATTGATTTAATCTTTGTTTTCATTTTTTCCTGGATGAGGAGTGGGTGTAATGGACTTTTAATATTTTTGTGTTCATCAGTAGTGTACTATTTGAATTGCTTTATCCACAATGAAGTAGTTCATAGAGAAACCGTACTTCATAATCAAGTACTTAATTCTCCTAAAAGAAAAGTGGGAAGCGAGAGGGTAACAGGTAGGAAGGCTAGGGGTCTCCAGATGGAGGAAATAGGCTGCAAGTGTCAGACATTTTTTATCTCTCTCTTAAGCAGCAGGAGGAAACAAACTACAAGTGTCAGATTTTAGCTTCCTTGATAGCTCAGCTGATAATGAATCCTCCTGCAATGCGGGAGACCCCGGTTCAATTCCTGGGTTGGGAGGATCCCCTGTAGAAGGGATAGGCTACCCACTCCAGTACTCTGGCCTGGAGAATTCCATGGACTACAGGGGGTCTCAAAGAGTCAGACATGATTGAGCGACTTTAAATGTAAAAAATTAATTGTAAATTACCTAAGGAAAATTTAAGACAGTTAATTCAAAGGATATAAGGCAAAGGAACAAAAATATGTGTGGGAAGCTAAATTTTACTGAATATTATTTCATTATTTCATTGCCTTTAGTGATGTGAGCTCAGTTTTCTTTCCTATTTCCACTTGGTAGTTTTGGAAGCATTAACTGTTCCCATGCCAGTGATCTTGCTGTACAGATCAATAGATTCCTTTACTTTGGTAGCTTTCTGTAAACAATATATATATATTTTTAATTGGAAAGAAAATTATATTAAAACTAGTTTATGAATGTTAGTCATTATTCTTTTACAGTTCTGGTCCCCCAATCGTTCTTCCTTAAAAGGAGGTAATTTTTTAGATTATACGGTGTGATGGTGCTTTCTCTGTGGATATGAAAATTTGGTCATTAGTAAAATCTCTTTTTTTATTCTATATTAAAGTTTTTAATAAACTATTTTATAGAACTAGTAAATGGAGGATCTTCCATATGTTTTATCAAATGAAGAAAACAATAAAGGATGTAATAGATGCACAACAAAATTTAAAGCAACATTAAATAAGATTTTACTTAAATTAGAAAAGACAATGTTCTTCTTGAAATCTTTCTTTCCTTAGGAGTCTTTAATTTTAAAGATTCTCTTGTCCCACGAGCTGACATTTCTCCCACATGCCCTTTGCTACAGAGCTCCACCTTTTAGCTAACTCCCATTTTAATACCATCAGATCCATGGTATTCAGGGAAATGGCATTTGAGGAAAACTTAAATTCTCAGTGTTGTATCTGACCTCAAAACATGTGCAAGGGTATTTTTCAACCGTTGCTTTTAAGGTTCTTTAAAGGAAAAAAATGAAAAGACCACTTTAGAATACTTGATATTTAGTTTTTATTTTGAGATATCTCTGTAACTAGTCTCCTAGAAACTTTAAACATCTGACATAAACAGTTTTTTATTGAATTGTACCTGTCATAATATGACTCTGTCTTGCTTACCCAGACTACAGTAAGTTTTAAGGACTACAATTAGCTTCTCATTGGCCAGCTCTGATTTAGTGGTCATAATAAAGTTATGTTTAGCTGAGGGCTTAGAATTTTTTTAAGTGATTGGACTTTTTTTTCCTGTGATTTGTCAGTTTCTTTTGTTTGGCACCATGGTTAAAGAGCCAGGCTTCCAGTCTGGTGCCTCATTCATTTTAAAACATTCTCTCAGTACAGGAATGGTTGAGAAGACATGGGTTTACTCTATTAAGCTTTTTAATTTCTTAAACTACTTCTATAAGAAAATAGGGCTCCCCAGTGGCTTGGTGGTAAAGAATCTGTCTGCAGTGGAGGAGCTGCAGGAGACATGGATTGGATCCCTTGGTCGGGAAGATCCCCTGGAGGAGGGCATGGCAACGCTCTCTAGTATTCTTGCCTAGAGAATCCCATGGACAGAGGAGCCTGGCGGACTGCAGTCTATGAGGTCGCAAAAAGTCAGATATGACTGAAGTGACTTAGCATGCCCATAAGTAAATTATTGAAACACTTTTTTTTCAGCCTTGTTTAGAAATTTGGTAGCACTAAAGAAGTGTTCTGCCACGATATTGATTCAATATTAATGTAGATTTGCTTTCTTCTATGGAGTTTAGTTTCTGTATCAGGGTACTTTCTAAGAATGAAATAAGTTCTTATAGATGTATGGGAATTTGAGGAACTCTCAGATCCTTTTCAATGTCATCTTTAGTAAATCTGAGGATGGCAGTGAGGGAAATACAGAGATATTGATTTGTGTGTGTGTGTGTGTGTGTGTGTGTGTATTTATATGTGTGATCTCAACACTGAGGAAATTCAGTAAAGTAAAATTTGCATCTTCCTTAAAGGTTAACATAGCAGTGGAATTATAAGGAAATATTAATTAGCTTTCCTTTTCCAAATGTACTGCTGTTTAACAGTTATATGTACCTCAGGACTTATTTTATATTTTAGTATATATCTTAAAGAAGTAA